TGGTCCTAACGGGTGAAATAAGCTCCCGGGGGGGGGGGGGGGAGACGCCTGAATCATTGGTTCAGTCCTCTATCCATGTGGGGTTTGTTTGGCCGAGCTTCCTTTGGGACTGCTCCATAGAAAAGATTTTGTAAGTCCTGTTCTCGGACGTGTCCGATAGTTGCGTCTGACTGTTGAATAAAGGTAAATGCACTTAGTCCTCTATCCATGTGGGGTTTGTTTGGCCGAGCTTCCTTTGGGACTGCTCCATAGAAAAGATTTTGTAAGTCCTGTTCTCGGACGTGTCCGATAGTTGCGTCTGACTGTTGAATAAAGGTAAATGCACTTTGAATTCCTTGTACAATAAACCTGCCTTGAATTTCAAAGCAAACAAACAACAGAAACGAAAAGATGGGCTTCTGGGATTCCATAGAAGGGGTCCTGGAACAATGCAAGGTCTGCAGGCTCCCAGGTCTCAGCTCCACAGAATACTTGATGTGACTGCAGTTGGTCGCACACATATTTAGGATGAGGGCAAAGCTGTTTTCCTTGATAAATCCTGCAGAGCCTTAGAACGCCTCTGGGTAACTGTTCCATTTTCAGTGGATGCAGCATGGAGATGGCTTTCAGACGAAGTCAGTCTTGGTCTCATGGAACCACTTTTGCTTAACTACCTTTCAGCTAAAGAGTGTCACGTTGGTTTTGTCATCGTAGACGTTTGGCAGATCCCGATGATAAGGCATCCCTCAACATGACAGCATGTCACGCAAACCCATCTGGTTCTCTCTTTCTGTATCTCTGACAGCAGCCCCGTCTCATCTACATGAAGGCAAAATCTCTCTGGTCCTCAGTGTGGGAGGGAAAACTGTGCCCATCCTATCATTAAGCTCAAATGAAATCTGCCGTTCATAAAGACGTCGAGCCATCCAGGGCTGCAGATGATGTTGGGGAGGTTTCCAGAAAAGTGCAACATATAAATACTTTGCATTGCACTTCTCTCTCCAGCAATACTGGGGTTAGGAGCGCCAGACCCTGGACTAGTTCAAACTCTTATGCTCCCCCCAAAATCTAACTACAAAGAATAAGCAGTAGATTAACACAAACACACACACACATATATAGATCTCCTGTGACCTGCCACAGCCTCTCAACAAGCCCAGCACACACACCCCTGCTGCCATGTGGCACCACCATGCCACGAAAGAGGGTCAGCTGGGCTACCCCGTTCAGACTGGGGGCCACCACCAACAAGGTAAGTCTACTGTTATCACGCCACTTCCTAGAGACAAATAGCAGCACAGTATTGGATTTAATATTTATTGATTGAATATCCAATTATTGAAAAAAAATCAATGTATAACTAAAACAATGCTGGTCGGACCCATGCAATTCAAGGGAGAATTTTAGAAGAATCTACCACTACCTCTCCTTCCTTCCTTCCTTCCTTCCAAGGTAAGTCTACTGTTATCACGCCACTTCCTAGAGACAAATAGCAGCACAGTATTGGATTTAATATTTATTGATTGAATATCCAATTATTGAAAAAAAATCAATGTATAACTAAAACAATGCTGGTCGGACCCATGCAATTCAAGGGAGAATTTTAGAAGAATCTACCACTACCTCTCCTTCCTTCCTTCCTTCCTTCCTCATGTAGCTGTAGACGAATCTACCACTACCTCTTCTTTCTTCCTTCCTTTCCTCCCTCCTTCCCTCCTTCCTCATGTAGCTGTGTTAGCCTGCTGCAAATATATAAGCCTAGGCCAAAAAGCGCTGGGATGAACTTGAGAAACTGTTTATTCTGGTGGAGCAGACTAAAGCTTACCTCATCAGGTGTAACAAAAGTGAAGATGTTCTGGCACCAAACATACAGAATTATTCAGCGCGAGTTCTCATGGGTTGCAATCCACCTCTCTAGATGTGCTTCACACCTTGGCTGAGTCGGTGTCTGAAGAAGTGGAATATAACCCACGAAAGCTGACCCTGAAAGGGAGATGCAAGTCCTAAAGGGCCAGGAGACCCTACTTTCTGTTGAGGCGGCGCTGGATGGAGATGGCTACCCTTCCAGATACTCATCAGAGGTGTTGATCTGGCTGGCTCAGGTTCCACTATTAATTTAGGAGTTCCTTTTCCCATTGAGGATCTTGCTTTTGTTGTGTGAGGACTGCATGTGTGGTTCAAGTAAGCTCAGCCCCTTGAGGACTTTCCACACCCTCAGAGCCAGGAGGCAGGCGGTTCTAAAATAGACAGAAGACTGATAAAAAAAGGAGGAGGAGGAGAAGCAGTGACCCAAATTAGAGAACAGGAACCTCCCCCAAAACTTCCCTGTCTCTGGAGGGAAATGCCGTCTTCAAGCAGAGATGGAGGCAGCATACAAACGCCCCTTTTATCATGCCAGGTATTTATAAATGGAGAACAAAAGGAAGCAAGAAGCCATTATCTCTGATGAAGGACCCAGCTTTGGTGTAGTGGCTGC